GAACAAGGTCACCTGTTTCCTGGTAAACAAGCCTCTGATGGCACCAGCGCCAGCCTCTTCTAAGCCTAACTGACGTGCGAGGTCCATACTCACGATAGACGTAGTTGCACCCGTATCTAAAAGTGCTGCTACTACTACCTCGTTCAACACTACTCCCTTAGTGACTCTCGCAGCCCCTAACGTGTCTGCAAACTTGGCGACCTGGGTAGTTTCTTCCAACTCTCCGTCTTCCATCAGCGCGTCGGGTCGAGCACTCGTTTTCTTCTTATCTCGGCGCTCTTTCTCAACTGTGCGCTTTTTCTCTTCCAACTGGTTGACCTCGCTTGTGACAGTTGCTGCACTCCAGATCCTTCATCGGACACACGTTCGCCCTGTGGCCCTTCTTATGACATCTGTAGCATTCAACCGACTCATCACCCTGGTGCTCGAAACTCCGATCCCAGCCGCCCACCTCCGCTTTCACCATCGATTGTCCCTGTGAAGTGGCAACACAACAATGGGTCGGGTGTAGGGATCGACGGATCGTGTTAAAGACGGTATTTCCCTTCCTCAAATTCCAGTTCGTTCAACCTTTGTAGTAGTGCAATGACGTTGCTGGTTTATTTGGCTGCCATTGGCAGGAGTTACTATTTTTGCCTGTGTTGGTTAACTAACTCAAATACCAAACTCAATGCCAACTAACTCAAGTACGGGTGGTTGTACCGGTACGCTTGCTTGCACATGGTCCGGCGGACCGTTTAGGGTCAAATATCAGCATCAACCGAAACGGATGAAAACGTGCTTGATGTCCGTCCTGTTCAGTCTCTCGACCGTTCCCTGCTGGGCGGCTTCTGCGGCGGCGGCTTTGAGGGCGAGTGAGATCTGTTTGGCCTTTTGGGTCAAATTCCAACACCCAAAATTACAGTTCGTGACGTCGTAGACATCTTTCGGGTAGTCTGCGAAGGAGTTGGCCACCCTGGCCAGAGAAGTTTCCAAGTCAGTGAGTGTGACCTTGTGCAGCTTCTTGGTGCTTTTGGTCGTCACGTCACAGGTGACGTCGGCAACGTCGCAGTCGCATGGAAGGATCGTGCCGACGTTTCGCAACGGGCTGCCCGCACCTGAGCAGACGCGAGTGAGTGCTGCAGACCATAGCTGGACTAGCTGGACTTGTTCCTCGTGCGACATGGTCGAGGGTGGCTCAGCCAGGAAGAAGTGTGTGAGGAGTCGTTCGCTGAGAAGGTTCTTAGTGTCTTGCGGACTGTTGCACAATGTCCGGCACGTGTCGGCTGCGACCCAACTTGTCATATTCCAAGCGAGCGAGTACGTGACGGCCCAGGGGCTGCCAAAGTTTGTGCACACCTGGTCGCAGCACAGGGCGCCGCTGCCGCAGGGTGCAGGCGGCTTGGGGTCCCCGGCCGACCAGACGTACGTGCGGCTCTGGGGGACCTCAGCGCTTAACTTCGCGACCGTCCCCGGCAACACGAAATCTCCTATCGCCGCCCCCCTCTGCGACGACCCCAGGGATCGCCACAGGTAGTTCGCAAACAAGCCGGCGGCCGTGCCTAGCCCCAAAAGGCCCGCGGCCTTGTACAGGCAGCGTCTCCTTTCAGGTATCGGCCTCGCCTGTGCGGCCTCCACGTCCCCGCCGTCCGTCAACTCCGCAGTCTTCCACCCTGTCGACCTTTGCAGCACCGGCATCCAGTCCTTGGGCACCCGCGCCAAAAGCTCCGCCAGCTCCGACGGGTCTATCGGCCGCGTCACAGTAACGGTGACGCCGTCCCCCTCCTCCTGCATCTCGCCACTCCCGTTCAGGATGGCGTGCAGGTCATCCAAGTGTTCCCCAAAGACTTCGCGACACAACGCCTCCACCGCCTCAGACTTGTCCCGAGGTCCCCCGCTCTCCAGCCGGCGCTGCAGCGCCGCCAGTAGCTCCGCCTCCGAGCGTTGGTCGCTCGGAGGCCCGTCCTTCGGACGCCACACGATCATCCGGTCCCAGTGCTCGAACCAGTCGTAGTTCTCGCCCTTCACCATCGTCGTCTCCATCGTCAACGGCGTTTGCTCACCGACCGTCTCCAGCTCTGTTTCAAACGCCGTCTTGGGCCCCAACACCAAAGCCGTCACCTCGCCGCCACCGCCTGCGCGCATCGTAACCACCCGCGCCATACAACCGTCCAACTTCGCCTGGCTGCCGTTAGGACCCATCAGCACCGACAGCAACTCGCTCCCTGGCATGCCATCCGCCTCACTCTTGAACGTCCGCATCTTCAACCGAAAAAAGTAAAATTGCTTCTGCTCTACCAGACTTGGATCTGTGAGCCGGCAAAGACGTAAACGGCTCGTTTCGTTAGGTCGCACCCAGGACGAAGTATTAAAAGGATAGAGACGACACGACTACCACCGCCGAATACGATACGAGCAGGAGAGTTCAAGCTCGAGAGCCTCAGCACCTCCGACGAGCGAGACCGGATAGTCGGCATCAATCACGAGGACAACACAATCTGCGCCACGCGTCTTTACACAGCGATCGCCCGACGGCCCTGGTTCACGTGTCTCGACAGCAGCGATAAGATAGTCTTGGTCACACTCATCCCTCCTTTCACACCCCCCTTCACATAGCGAACGGAGCCCCGGAGCTAACTGCGGTCAGTTCCCAACGGCTAACTCCAACGGAGATGTGTTCACGGGGTTGTCATGTCTCAGATCTGAGGCTCATCCGCAAAAACCACACACACCTCGAAAAAAATTCTTTTGTCCCTCTGCCTCTGAAGGAATTTGGATGGATGTGCGAGACCTTCACGTGCTTCGGGGTCGATCGATATACGTGATCGTTTGCCTGTGCTGATTGCGAGCCTTTGTCTCGCCCTCGAGGTTCTGAGAGTAGTGCTGAATTCGAGTTGTGGTCCTCACTTCGCTTGAACCTTGTCTTGATGTACCTGGAACTGTGGAGCCTGGCTGACCGTATCATCGACTTGGGTACCTTCATGGGGAGACACCACTTTGACGTGACACGTCGGCCAAGGAACGCTGCTGCGTTGCGCAGGAGGGTCCCGCCACAAGTCAGATTCATGCCACCTTCTTACCGCAGAGTGTAGTTGTTGTCCCTTGAAAATGGTTTTAGTTGTTTACCCACTACTTAACAACCCCGAACTTGGGTGCCGGAAGCTCATAGCGAAGGTCAAGTAAGAATCTTCTGGCTTGCGATATTGGTGATTCTCGTTCCATGATTCCCGTTCCATGATTCCCGTTCCATGTTTGCCAACAAAGTGCCCAAGAAGTGGTGGTGGTGAATCCCGTCACCGTGGGGTTTGGTAAGTAGTGCCCCTTCATCAAAGGCCGTTCCTAAACCTTGGTTGGATATCCCGGTCGGTGTCTCACCGAGTCAGTAGTGTCTCAAAATTGTGTTTCCGTGACGGCTGCCTGTCAGAGATGAACTAGGAGTTTGGAGGTATCAGCCGACGAATTCGTCACGGTATCAGCCGAAACGAAGATGTAGCTGATGGGTTTTCTTGGTAGGCTTAAGCGAGTTCCGGCGGGCTGCTTCTGCGGCTCTGTTTGCGATTGCGGTCTGTTTGGCCTTTTCGGTCAAGTTCCAACATTCGAAATTACAGTTCGTGACGTCGTAGACATCTTTCGGGTAGTCTGCGAAAGAGTTGGCCACCCTGACCACAGAAGTTTCCAAGTCAGTGAGTGTAACCTTTTGAATTTCCTGGGTGCTTTTGGTCAGCACGTCGCAGGTGACATCGGCAACGTCGCAGTCGCATGGAAGGATCGTGCCGACGTTTCGCAACGGGCCGCTCCTGCCTGAGCAGACGCGAGTGAGTGCTGCAGAGAATTGTTGGACTTGTTCCTCGTGCGACATGGTCGTGGGGGTTCTAGTTAGGGGGAAGTGTGTGAGGAGTCGTTCGTCGCGAAGGTTCTCAGTGTCTTGCGGACTGTTGCACAATGTCCGGCACGTGTCGGCTGCGACCCAACTTGTCATATTCCAAGCGAGCGGGTACGTGACGGCCCAGGGGCTGCCGAAGTTGGTGCACACCTGGTCGCAGCACAGGGCGCCGCTGCCGCAGGGTGCAGGCGGCTTGGGGTCCCCGACCGACCAGACGTACGTCCACGTGCGGCCTCCGGGGACCTCAGCGCTTAACTTGGCGATCGTCCCCGGCAATACAAAGTCTCCTACCGCCGCCCCTCGCTGCGACGACCCGAGGGACCGCCACAGGTAGTTCGCAAGGAAGCCGGTGGCCGTGCCTAGCCCCAGGAGGCCCGCAGCCTTGTACAGGGAGCGTCTCCCTTCGCGTCTGGGCTTCGCCTGTGCGGCCTCCACGTCCCCGCCGTCGTTCCAGTGCGCAGTCTTCCACCCTGCTGACTCTTGCAACACCGGCATCCACTCCTTGGGAACCCGGGCCAAGAGCTCCGCCAACTCCGAGGGGTCCACGGGTCGCATCACAGCCACGGTGACTCCGTCCACCTGCTCCTGCATCTCGCCACTCCCCTTCAGGATGGCGTGCAGGTCATCCAAGTGTTTCCCAAAGACTTCGCGACACAACGCCTCCACCGCCTCAGGCTTGTCCCGAGGTCCTCTGCTCTCCAGCCGGCGCTGCAGCGCCGCCAGCAGTGCCGCCTCCGCGTGTCCGTCACTCGGAGGCCCGTCCTTCGGACGCCACACCATCATCCGGTCCCAGTGCTCGAACCAGTCGTACTTCTCGCCATCCACCATCGTCGTCTCCATCGTCAACGGCGTTCGCTCACCGACCGTCTCCAACCCTGCTTTAAACGCCGTCTTGGGCCCCAACACCAAAGCCGTCACCTCGCCGCCACTGCCCGCGCCCATCGTAACCACCTGCGCCACACAACCGTCCAGCTTCGTCTGGTTGCTGTTTGGACCCATCAAGACTGACAGCAACTCGCTCCCTGGCGTGCCACCTGCCTCACTCTTGAACGTACGCATCTTCAACCGAAAAAAGTAAAATCACTTCTGTTCTTGGATCTGCGCCACGCGTCGTCTCTCAGACCTTGCTCTCCAATAACCAAATGATTCTTCCAGGGCGAGTAGCCCATGATGGGTTGGGATGCCGGGGCATCGCGGTTGCCTGGGTTCGGCGTTGCTGATGTCCGGTTGCATTTTTAGTTGCTGCCCTAGCCTCCTCTGCTCTACCCTTAGCGATAGACTTGGTTATACTCATCTCTCCTTTCACATGGGACCAACCTTTTTGCACAGCAACCAGACCGGGCGGTGCTCGGGCTTGTTCTGTGGTCCATTTCTGTTCGTTTATGATTTTATCAAAAACAAAGTTGTTGAGAGGGCAAGAAGGCCCCCGGTAAATGATCATTGATTCACGGCACGGGAACCAGCACATCCTTGACTCCTGTCTCCGCTGCCTGGGAGCCACACTGGCCAGAGCAGGTCCTAAGAAAGTTCCATGCCGCGAAGTTGCCCGTCTTGAAGAGACCTCGGTCAGTTTGGCGCTGGGAGCATGAACAACAGACTTTGGATGCGACACCGATCCTAGTGATAATCAATCTCGCTCAGTGCAAGCTCCCTAAGAGGGAGGGGCCTACCGGACCTGAGCGTCTGTGAGGAGAGGAGGCCAAGTTTTATCGGGACATATTAGGGCGGAACGCAGGCGAACTCGGTCAACCCGTAGATTGGAGATTCCGTGGTGTTTGAGATGGCCAACAAGATTCGAGCCCCGAGAGAAGTGGCGGCGAAGCGAGCGGAGATGATTGGAGGAACGCGAGGCTTTTGCAGGTTCGCAAGAATTCTGGACGGCCGGTGGATGAGGTTCCGGAATCCGTTGATAGTCACAAGATGTTTCCCGGGCTTTTTTGACGGTTTAAAGGACAATCAGCAGTGTCTCCCAACCTGGGGGCTCTGATGCACAGGCCTTAGGCCGGGAACTTGGGTCGAGAGCCCCTTTATGCCACCGAATTGGCGTGCGAAAAGTGTGTGCACAAACACGCGCGCAATCTTTTTGGTGAGGGAAGAGACTAAAAAGAGACTGGACAGTGGTGCCAAATCGCGAGATTAATCGCACCCGCTTCGTTTCCACACAAGGTAATGGGCATGTTGGTTCAATTGTGGTTTGGTCTTGATGAGTACTAGCAAAGCGACGGTGTAGCGTGGTGGGTATATCATCTCGTTGGTCGACGAACGGTAGTAGCAGATTAGTGTCCCCGTAACGATTGATTAGTGTAAGGTTGTCTGTCAACCCCAACGAATCCATATCTGAGGGCCGCGGGTTGGGCTGGCGGGACGCTTTCGGGCGTGGGGTGCACTGGTACGCTTGCGGGCGGGGGAGGCACTGGTACGCTTGCGGGTGGGGGCACTGGTGGTGGCACGGGTAGTCGTACGGGTGGCCCGGCGGATGGCATCTACGGCTTTGTTCGCCTCTACGATCTGTTTGGCCTCAGGCTTTAGTTGCCAGCATGCGTAAGCGCATGTCCCGATGTCGTCGGTGTCGTCCCGGTAGTCCCGGAAGATGTTGGCCACACTGATCAGGGGCGTCATCATGTCGGTATGCTTGACCTCGTGATATCCTTCCCAGCTTTCGGGCTTCACCTTGCAGACGACGCTGGCCAGGTCGCAGGTGCAGTTGGAGAGCGCGAGGACGTCTTCAAGTCGGACGGCAGAGTCGCTGCAGACGAGATCGAGTGACTTGAAGACCCGGAAAATCTCCTGCTTGCGCGACATGTGCCCATCCGTCGGGGTTCCCAGGGGGAAGTAGTCAAGGAGTCGCGAAAAGAGATGCATGCCATCGTGAGGGAAGCAATTTACCTCGCATTTTTCACGAAAGAACCCGTGGGCGATATTCCAGGCGAGCGGGAAGGAGACGGGCCAGGGGCTGCCAAAGGCAATTTGGGTAGGACCCGTGCCGAAATTGTCGCAGCTCCCGCAGTACAGGACGCCGCTGCCACAGGTTGACAGAGGCGGGGGGATCGCCCAAGTGACCGGATGGCGGTGCAATTGCAGCTTCCACTCCTCGGATGCACCCATGAGGTTTCTCCCATGAAGTCTCCTGTCGTTGCGCCGACGTCGGGGGAGCGCAACGAGGTAGTCCGCAAGGAGCCGACAACCGCGCCTACGCCCCAGAACCGCCCGCGGTCGTGTACAGGCGGCGCTTCGTTCGCGTCGGGCTTCGCAGGTGC